CTGCTCCTGTGTGCTCTGGTCAGATATATCCTTCTCCCGAAGCTGCAGATTCAGTGCCATCCTTTGAAATAAATTCTTCTTGGGGGAGGGGCCCAATTTATTTTTCTATAGTGGTACATCTAAACCCATTTTCAAGGACTGAGACTATTCCAGTGGGTAGTAATGTTCTTTTAGAAACTCGTCTTTTTAAACCTTTCATTTTTGAATGGCCCCCAAAGAGAGAGAAGCATCTTTCCACCATTCTTGCAGGGGTGGTGGACGATGTCCATCCTTTCTCCGAGCTGAGGAGCAAACAGTGAAGTAAACTCATCTCTGTGTACATGCAGAACCAGAGCGACAGGGAAGAAAAAAATAGTCTTACAAGTAGAGTGAGCCTACATTGCCAGTGCTGAAAAACTAGCCCAGGCCGGCCCAGCCCTTTCAGCATCCCTGATGTCCACCTACGTGGCGAATGGAAGCCTAATTGTAACGCAGCCCAGACGGCACAGAGGGAGTGCTTCCCAGCAGCAGGGTCACTGACCCACCCCAGATCAGTCCTTGAAGGCCCTTGCTCACACTTGCTTACCTTTCTCATATGCTCAAGGTTAGGCTTACAAGGAAACGTTTCTCCCTACAGAATAGAACATGTTCATCATGTGTTTCATCCATCGTTCCTCTAAAAGGTGGATGAGGATCTTCATTAGGTCCCCGTCTCCCGGGTGAGATCCTTCTCACAGGAGTTTAAATAGATTGTCACTTTTGTTAGTATGGGTTGACTAGAGAAACAAGTCCAGAGACCCTCATCTGTGTGAGAGAGAGCTTTCCATAAAAGAGTAATTGTGTATGGAGAAAACATCCCAGCCCAGTCCATTCAAGTCTGTTAGTCATACGTTAGCCCATATGTCGGATGCTTGTCCATAAATTCCTCTTCAAACCCATGCAGCACATGCAGTGGTAACGAATGCAGGAAGAGCACAGACTGGTGGGTGGAAAGGCCTGTGAATCCAGTGACCCATCTCCAGGCTGCCCATCATTGTGGCTCCAGGTGGCTTGTCAACAAGAATGTGAAGCAGAGAGTGTGTCCTGCCTTCAGAGACGAAGAGAGGAAGTTCCCAGAATCCTCAAGAGAAGGCCACTTCCACAAGGCGGGATCCTCAGGCTGTGACCTGACTGACAGGCTAGACTCCACCCCTTCTTCCTTTTATCAAGTTAACAAGAAATGGTGGAACTACCGTATAGTTCAGGTATGAAGACTTGGCTGCTGTTTCTCAGGCTGTTGAGCTTGTTTCATGAGCAGCTGGCGTGCAGTCGGATGTGTTTGGCTTATGCCCGGGAAGTAAAAGTCAGATGTGATTGGCTCATGCCCTGGAAGTAAAAGTCGGATGTGATTGACTCACACCTGGGAAAAAAAGGTCCCCGGCGCACACTGCTTAGAGCTTCGTGCTTGGACTGGCATGTCTTGACATTGTCTCCAACAGACATGAAGTAGGTGAGATGGCCCTATTAAGATTGAGGGCCAGAATAAAGTGGTTATGTGAGAGCCCAGAGGGAAGATGGGGAGATAAAAGTGTGGGTCAAAAGAAATCATTTCTTACTTTCAAAAGGAATAATGATACATTTTTTCTTTTTGGAGGGGGTGGTGTTAAGCTGAGCGTAGTGCATAAAACCCCAGGGAAGGCGATTGTGTCAGTCTCACTGTATCCCCTCATAACATTTTTATGCGCAGGTGCAAGGAAGGGTAAGTTTTGAACACCCTGTCTTGAACACCTTGGGGGTGGAGGTCGGGGAACTGTGGCTACCTTGTTACAGCTCCATCCATGACATTAGCCTACTCTAAGTTGACCAGATTTTAACATTGGTAAAGCGGGACACCATTGATACAACTCATATACTGGCGAAATAGCCACATGGCAGTCGAAAACCGTGTACCCTAGCTTGTTGTGCATTCTTTCCAAAAACCAGGACTTTTTAAAACTGCCGCGGGACGTGGGACAAATTGTTAAAAATCAGGACTGTCCCGCCAAAAGTGGGACGTCTGGTCACTTTAGTCTACTCCTACCGTCCCTGCTCCTGGCACTTCTCCAGCTGTGGGATGACCAATTAATTCTTAGCAGATTAATTCTGGATTAAGAGTAAGCAGCTGTGAAAGAAATCAATGTTGTACTTAAAGCCACGAGAGAGGTTTTTGACCTTGGTCTTTCCCAGCAGCTGGGAGATTTATA